CCTAAACTCTAAACCCTAAACCTTATACCCGAACCGGAGTCCCCCCGGCTTAAGGCTCCCCGCCAAGGGGCCCTAGTCAGCAAAAACACCACTGGGTTTGGGGTTTAGGGTTTAGGGTTTAGGGTTTCACCCCCCGGCTCCTCATTTCGCGCAGATTCTGCCCCTAGGTTCCCAAAAGACCCTAACCTTGGGATGTTCCGCCTAAAACTAACAGTCCTTAAAAGGGATTATAGTAGGGGTACTAGAGTCCCTGTTAAGGACTGTTATTTTCGGGGGGACACGTCCCAACCCTAACCCCCCCAACCCTAAGTCCTGAACCTTCGGCGGTGCGGAGGAGTACGCGCTGGTGGAAGTGGGCCCTGGCGACGGCGATGTGTGGCACCCAGATGAGTGACTAGCGAAAACCCTCCACCTCTCTCGGTGTCATGGGTTCCCCTACCACCCCCCCTCTAAACTACCCCCTTGGTTCCCCCTTAAGTAACCTTAATTAGGCTTAACTATCCCTAAATAGCCTTACTTATGGGGGAACCTAGGGGGGGTAGTATAGAGGGGGAGTAGGGGAACCCATGATATACCCAAAGGCGATACATCACCTAACCCCAAAAGCGATATCCCTCCATGAAATGTTTCACTCCTGGCCTGTAGGTTTTGCCGCGCGCCCAGATGTTGGGGTGGGAATTTCAGGGGCATCGGGGTGGTGTAGGGCTTAGGGCTTGGCGCGCTGCACAAGGGTGGTGAAAGTAACCAACCCCCACGCACTACATAAGTAAACCCTAAACCCCCACACCTAAACCCCTGAACCCCTAAATCCCCAATTACACCCCAACCCCTACACCCGTAAACCCTAAACCTCTAAACCCCTGAGCCCTAAACCCCTAAACTCTGGGTCCCTACCCTAAACCCTAAACCCTAAGCCCTAAACCCTAAACCTTAAACCCTAAAGTCCCTAAACCCAAAGCACTAGGGATTCCGAAGTGTCCAGGTTCGCCTTGCGCTGCGTGCGCACGAGGCCGGCTGTTTAGGGTTCAGGGTTTAGGGTTTGAGGTATGGGTTTAGGGTTTAGGGTTAGGGTTTAGGGTTTGAGGTTTAGGGTTTAGGGCTTGGGGTGGTTTGGGGTTTAGGGTTTAGGGTTTGGGGTGGCTTGGGGTTTGGGGTTTGGGGTTTAGGGTTTAGGGGGTTGGGGGGGTTAAGGGTTTTAGGGTTTAGGGGGTTTTGGGGTTAGGGGTTTAAGGATTGGGGCTTGGCATAGAGACCGGCTTCATCAACAATGCCATCACGAGGGACAAGAACCCCAAACCCTAAACCCTAAACCCTAAACCCTAAACCCTAAACCCTAAACTCTAAAACATCTACATCTTCAACCCCACCCAGGCCTGGCATGAAGCCCTGAAGCGCTTGGCCTGCGCACCTTGTTGGAGTTTTTGGGTTTTGGGTTTCCTAAACATTGCGCCCTAAACCCTAAATCTTACACCCTAAACCCTTCAGGGCTCCCTAAAACCCCAACACCCCACACGCACAAAACTAAAAAGAGGAAACACAAGAAACAGTGCCCTTGGCCCCCTAAACCCTTTATGGCTTAGGAACCTTGAGACCCCAAAGCCTGAAGCCCCAGAGAAACCTAAGCCCTCAGCGACTCAAAGCATGTACACGGGGGGGCTGGTCTATGTAAAAGGAGGGACCCCTAGAATGGACCCTTAATCTTATCCCCTATATAACCCCCTATGTATACCTTATATAGTCCCTATATTCCTCAGTAGCCCCCAAAGAACCCCTAAATGAACCCTAAGGTCCCTTCTAAGGGTCCCTCCTTTAGCCCCTTGACACAAGGGAACGTGCGATAGTCGAAGCCCTAGACCCGAAACCCGTTGAGGGTTTCGGGTTTCGGGTTTCGGGTTTTTCAAGCCTAAACCCTGAACCTTGGTGTTCCCCCTATTTTTTACTCCCAGTCCTTAATGGGGATTATAAAACCCCCTATTATTCATCTCTATTGAAGACTGTTAGCAGAAGGTGGAACATCCCAAGTTTAGGGTTTCGGGCTTCTAAACCCAAAACCCTGAACCCTAAACCCCAAACTCCAAACCCCAAACTCCAAACCCTAAACCCTAAACCCTAAACCCCTCCTTAAGTGAGTGCCGAAGGCGCTGCCGCTGTTGCGTGCCCGAGCCGAGAGCTACGAGGCGTCGTCGACGTCTAGGGTTTAGCGTTGCGTGCCCGGGGCTTTAGCGCCCCAAACCCTAAACCCTAAACCCTATACCCTAAACCCTAAACCCTAAACCCTAAACCCTAAACCCTAAACCCTAAACCCTACACCCTAAACCCTAAACCCTAAACCCCCTAAACCCTAAACCCTAAACCCTAAACCCTAAACCCTAAACCCTAAACCCTAAACCCTAAACCCTAAACCCTAAACCTAAACCCTAAACCCTAAACCCTAAACCCTAAACCCTAAACCCTAAACCCCGTAATCCCTAAACCCCATAATCCCTCTATGCACAATAGCCCCTAAGTACCTCGTCTCAGAACCCTTCTCAGCCCTGAGCTCTACGTCCAAAACATAAACATCCCTAAGTCCAAACCCTGTTTAGGGTTTAGGGTTCAGGGTTTAGGATTTAGGGTTTAGGGTCTAGGATCGCCCCTATCAACGCTACAAACCACCGGGACAAAAAATCTATCAACCCAACGAACCGCCACACTTACTAGGATCCAGAGCCGGCCCTTATTCCCTTGTTTTAGGGTTTTGATTCCCGTATCAGCCCCTTTAAACCGAGGAAGGGCACCCTGTTTGTTCCTGGGCTACTGCTCCGAACCCCCCGCCCCCTCTTGAAAGCCTCATTGGTGCGAAGACCCTGAGGATGGAGGGGTTTCTGGTCTAGGCTTGAGGGTTTAGAGTTTTAGTCTTGGGGTTTGGGGTTTCGGGTCTTAGGGTTTTAGGGTTTTCAGGCTTAGGGTTGAGGATTCAGGGTTTAGGGCCTGGGGTCCTTAGCTTGGACCGAAGAGCAGATGGGACCTTTGTAAGGGGAGGGTAGGGTTTAGTGCTTAGGGGTTTGGGGTTTCAGGGTTCAGGGTTTAGGGTTTAAGGTTTAGGGTTTCGGGTTTAGGGGCTTAACCCGAACCCAGACAATAACACCTCCCAAAAGGAGCCTAAACGGCGGGATGTATTGGCACTGATACTCAGGGACATGATTTCGCAGGAAAGTTTTCCCATGATGCATTGGTATTTGAGATGTGTTTTTCCTGTGGACATCGAATGTTCCCAATGTCCACAGAACTTGATTGAATCCTTGGGAATGGCTTCAAATTGTCCTTAAATTGTTTGGATTGGAGAGTATAGAGAAGAACTTGAACGCCCCTCCAAGCAAGCACACATAGCCTTCTAGGCCTGCATCCTATGGAAGCGTCAATCTTTGTGTAAGTCCTTGCGCTTTGGACAGGCTGGACGAAGGAAACATGCATGCTTAATATCTATCTTCCTTGTGAGCATGTCTTACTCCCAATGTGCGCATAGCTCGTTGTGTGAGTCGCGTCGAGACTTCTTAGAAAAGTTCGCCTGTCTTAAGGAATGGCTATGTGTAGTGCCTTGCCATTACAAGCTTTCCTGCGGGTTGGGTGGTGTAATAGGGCTCCTATTTGTAGTCGTTTTATCTCGCATCGCTCGGTTTTACGCATCAATCGGCGTCCACATTGGGGAACTGCATTCTCCAGATTATACCTCCTGATGTGTCGAAGTCGGCCTCGTCGTCATTTACACAGCATCTACATGCTCTTTTGCATGTTGGTAGTGCCCTAAACCCTAAACCCTAAACCCGAAACCCTAAACCCTAAACCCTAAACCCTAAACCCTAAGCCCTAAGCCCTAAGCCCTAAGCCCAAGACCCGACACATCGATCGGCGTCCACATTGGGGAACGGCGCTCCCCAAAGTAAATCTCTTGATGTGTTGAAGTCGGCTTCGTGCAGGCTTCTGAATGTTTGGGGTTTAGGGTTTAGGGTTTAGGGTTTAGGGTTCTAGGGTTTAGGGTTTAGGGTTTAGGGTTTAGGGTTTAGGGTTTAGGGTTTTGGTAAGTAGCGGATGATTGCTGGGGGGTGGTCTCGGTCGCCCTGACAACTCGACCAACCCCCCGGCCGTTTAGGTTCAATCGAATTCGGGATTCCTCAGTTGGTTGGTTTCTAGCGTCTCCCTGGTAATTATCTGTTGAAACTCAGGTAAAATTCTGTAAACAACGTGCTGATACCGCTGGCGTCCGCAGCAGATCCGGCAGTTTGACACATGTTGGCTGTTTGCCTAAATTCCAGCGTCTACTTGGGGCCGTGTCCTGATGTGTAATTCCGCCGCTGATGTGTATTCCTGCTATGTAGCGTCCACAATTGGGTGATGTGTATTTCTCGCGACCTGATGTGACATAAGCCCGCCGCAAGTTGGTCGAAACCCTAAACCCTAAACCCTAATCCCTAAACCCTAACCCCTTGAACGCTGAGTCCCAAGCGAAGCTCCGCAAACCCCAAGCGGAAGGCCGCCAACCCAGCCGCGTGTGCGGGCTGGGCTCCCGAGATGGGTAACCACATGGTGGAGGGCGCCGGGTGGCCCAACGAAGGGTTCAGGGTCTAGGGTTTAGGGTTTAGGGATAGGGTGTAGGGTTTAGGGTTTAGGGTTTGGGGTTTTGGCTCCGGGGGTTGGGGTTTAGGGTTGTGGTCCGGCGGTTTTGGCGGGATCCTGTTGGGGCCGGATCGCTTCAAGCACGTGTTTGCGTGTGTCAAGGGAAGCGTTTGCGACACACGGTGTGCTCGAGAAGTGAGAAATTGCCGCACATCGCGGTTGCATTCAGTAGTCGTTGAGCGCAGGCGTTTATTCATTGTATCAGGTCGGCTTTTTCCATCTGGAGATTGGCATGCTGGTTGATAAACTTCCACTGGCAACGTTTGTACGTTCCGCTTTCTGACACAACTTAGGCGATCAGCAAATCAGTAGAAGAGAACTGTGCCTGTCGAAGGCAAGCAAGCAAGATGGTTGCGTTCACCTTGTGCAAGCCGCCGATGGTCACGAAGGCCCACCAGCTGCTGGCGACTGCCGCGGTGTTTGGTGTTCTTTACGCTGTGGCCCACATCGTGACTATATTTTTCTTGGGAGTTGTTTTTTTATATTTGTTTATAGAAAACCCAAGAGGATATTAAACATATTGTTTTTATTAAGGTTCTAAGGGGAGTACAGGTGACTTTTGCGGTGACGACTGCCGGGCCTGGTTGGGACAGCACGTCGCTGTCCCTCGACCTCACGGGGTGGATCGCGGGCACGTGCTTTGCCGTCCTGTGCTGGAAGTCCTCGAACCTGAGCAGTACCCTTACTTCTCCAACAGCTGATCTTTAAACTGTTTGGGTTTCCTGATTTAGTAGGAATCATAAAGCTTAACCTTTTTTCCCTTGGCTATTGGAGAAGTAAGGTACAAGCAATAAGAGGAGCAACCAGTGGATCTGCGTCTGGTCCATCCTCACCTTCGGCGTCCGAATTCTGGACACGCTCATGCTTTTCGGCGCGGTGAAGCTGTCCGCCGTGTACAAGACGCCTCAAGGCGCCGTCTTGTGGACCAACGTGGTCAGCGACGCAATCTTTGGAAACTTGTTCGTGTGGTGCGCGCTCGCGGCTTCCATCATGATCCTCGCATGCCCGGAGGATCTCAGCGTGGAAGAGCCATGCCTGGAGGATGGCGCTGGCATCTTTGTGGTACTGTACTGTAACTTCAGATCCTTACCTTTTTTGGGTTTATTGGGTTTCTTATGAAGGCAGCTAAACGTTTAATTTATAGCTACCCTCCTGAGTGCAGCCAAGGCATGATGGGCAACAGCGAAGCTTGAGCAAGTATGGTGCTGCAAAATGCGGGAATGCGTCAGAGGTAGCAGGCGTCACAGGAATACGCGTGACGGCCCACGCAAAGACGGACTCAGGGTCTCAAGGCCAAGTTCAACCTGGATCTTCTGCAGATTCACTTCCCAGCCTCCGAGGTGCACCCTAAACCCTAAACCCTAAACCCTAAACCCTAAACCCTAAACCCTAAACCCTAAACCCTAAACCCTAAACCCTAAACCCTAAACCCTTTCAATGCCTCAAGGTGAAGCTTCTCTCTTGCAGTCACGATGCCCTTCAAGCTTGACTCGCGACACCATCTTCTCCCAGCTCTCAAGCTGCCAGGTCTTTAGTAGCAGAGTAGGTAACTTTTTAACTTTTTGGGGTTTAGGGTTTAGGTTTAAGGTTTAAGGTTTAGGGTTTAGGGTTTAGGGTTTAGGGATCCCCTTAGAGAACCCTAAAGGTTAACCTTTGGTTCCCCTAGGTACTGGACAACTACGGTTCTGTGCAAGTTCGCATCTGCGAAGGCCGCTTCTGCAAAGGGCAGCTTTAGACCTTCTTCCTTTTTCTTAGTAGCCGAGTGCGTAGACTGCACGCTTTTGGGGGTACCATAAGCTCCTGTAGAACTGAAAGTGTAGACTTTTTCGGGGGCTGATGAACTCAGCAACGAAGTTTTCGAGATGCCTTGCAAAGGTATCTGCAAGGACTAGGTGCCTGCCACAGTGCAGCATTCAACAACTGCCCGCTGCACGGATCACACAGCTTTTGGTTTCTGAACCGTGCCGAAGGCACAACACGTCCTTGTCTGGATGAACCCACGCAGTCTCCAGCAGGAACTTCAAGCTGTGTTGGTTCTTCAGGGTTTAGGGTTTAGGGTTTAGGGTTTAGGGGCTTATGATGATTCTTGTCATCCGAACACCCCATAGCGTTTAGGGTTTAGGGTTTAGGGTTTAGGGTTTAGGGAATAATTAAAACTTAGTCTCAGAGGTACAACCCATCTTTCCCCCACTGTTGCACGTTTGTGCACGTGAGTTTGTATGTACTCATGGTGATATAGCTTTCGTGTCCATGTAGATGATAAGGGTTTCATGAACTGTTTGAACTAGCTTTCTTGACTACATGTTGTGTTCTTTCCACGCCACTTCTTCCTGAAACAGAGTCGGTTCGGGTCTTTCGGAACAGACAGGGAAACATTTTCTGGGACAATAGTATTCGTATGTCTAGCAGAACGATGGCCTAGTTTTTAGGGTTTTAGGCTTTTAGGGTTTCAGGGTTTTAGGGTTTCAGGGTTTCAGGTTTTTAGGGTTCAGGGTTTCAGGGTTTCAGGGTTTCAGGGTTTCAGGGCTTTAGGGTTTTCAGGGTTTCAGGGTTTAGGGTTTCAGGGTTGTAGGGTTGCATGGCTCGGAAAGTGTTTGTGGTTCTGGGGCTGAACGGCTCGGAGCTTAGACTTTTGAGTTTTTGCGCCTCAGGCAAGCCACAACCTTGAAACCTTACCAACCCTGAGTTTTAGGGTAATTAGGGTTTTGGGTTTAGGGTTTAGAATTAGGGTTTAGGGTTTAGAATTTAGGGTTTTTTTAGGGTTTAGGGTTTAGGGTTTAGGGTTTAGGGTTTAGGGCTTAGGGCTTAGGGCTTAGGGGCTTAGGGTTTAGGGTATGAGCCCTTGCAAGAAAGGCACAGGATGGACGAAGGGGAGCAAGGCAAAGGCCCCTTCTATAATCCCTCGTATCCAAGAAGAAATAAGGGCTTAGGGTTTTTGGGGAAAATCCTCCCTTAGACTCCCTTATATTTTAGGGTTTAGGGTTTAGAGTTTAGAGTTTAGGGTTTAGGGTTTAGGGTTTTTCTCCTTTTATAGGTTAAGAGGTATGGGTTTGGGGTATGGTGAATGATTCATAGATCTTAAGGGCTGTTTGTGCAAGGGGGAACATCCCAAGCAATGGTAGATAGCCCAAACATGAGTGGCATGCAGGTCTTTCTTATGGGTAATACGGGGGTCAGGGTTTAGGGTTTAGGGATGTTTAGGGTTTAGGGTTTAGGGTTTAGGGTCTAGGGTCTAGGGTTTAGGGTTTAGGGTCTAGGATCTGAGGTCACGAAGCCACCATACAAAGCGGCCCTGGACGACATGCTGCTTGTCGAGGCACGATCGCACGAAGGGCTCCTTGACTCGTGGTTTAGGACGAGGCAGGTTTAGGGTTTAGGGTTTAGGGTTTAGGGTTTAGGGTTTAGGGTTTAGGGTTTAGGGTTTAGGGTTTAGGGTTTAGGGTTCAGGGTTCAGGGTTCAGGGTTTGGGGTTTAGGGTTTAGGACGAGGCAGAGTCGCTGTCGCCATCTTGTGAAAGATGCCGGGAGGCCTAAGTGATAGAAGTGCCGGCTTCAATCCAGCTACTTCAAAGTCCTTAAACCTGAAAATCTAAATTCTAACCCTAAACCCTGAAACCCTAAACCCTGAACCATCAAGCCTGAATTCAGGCTAATCCTTAAACCCCAAACTCTAAACTCTAAGACCCTAACCCTAAACCCTAAACCCAAAACCCGAAACCCTAAACCCTCTAAACTCTCTAAACTCTAAGACCCTAACCCTAAACCCTAAACCCTGAACCATTAAGCCTGAATTCAGGCTATAGGGTTCAGACTTTACTTCGTGTCTCAAAGAAAACCGCAAGGAGTCGCTGGCCTTCCGCCGCCGAGAGCTTTCGGCTGCGGGTGGCCCAGCAGGGTTTAGGGTTTAGGGTTTAGGGTTTAGGGTTTAGGGTTTAGGGTTTAGGGTTTAGGGTTTAGGGTTTAGGGTTTAGGGAACCCCCCGGGCGGTCTTCTTCGGGCTTTTAGCGTTTAGGAATCTCAAGGTTTAGGGTTGAGGGGTTTGGAGTTCCAGGGCTTTGCAGAGTGAGGAGTACTCTTTTTACAAGGATGATTCAGGTCTCCGATATCCCCTCAACCGCCCAACCCTAAAGCTTCATAACTAAGGCGGAGGGCATCCAAATCCGAAAGCTTTAAAGAACGCTTCCAAAAGGTTCGTTGTGACTTGGCACGGTCACATCTTCATGCCTTGCGCAATTGAAGTTCTCAAAGCGCGACTATCAATCACAAACTCCCTAAGCCCTAAGCCCTAAACCCTGAGCCCTAAGCCACACTGCAGGTAGGATGCAGGCTAACATTGTGATTTGAGGGCACCTGTGCGGGCCAAGCTGCCTCGGGTTTCCTCGGGCTTTGTACGGTTTCCCATCGGCCTGAAGCCTAAAGCCTAAACCCTTCCAGGCGTTGTTAAGCCTAATTAGTGCGTAAGACTAAGCGCCCGACGGCCCTGATCCTAGAACGTCCGTGCCTCAGCCGCGAAGAGTCATGGCGTCTCTGACAGGATGCACAGAGAGTTTGGGGTTTAGGGTTTAGGGTTTAGGGACCCTAAGCCTTGTGATCCCTACAGCTTGACATCTTAAGCCCTTAAAGGTGCAACTTTCGGGGTGGTGAAGGTGTGCCCATGGTTGGGTTGCGGCTTGGGTGTAGGACCTAGTCTTCCTGGTTCTTAGCAGGGAGTGAGGGAATTTCGTACACCGGATACCCCTATATGTACCCTTTAATTAAGGGGTTATAGGGTGTAGGGTACCTACTTCCCTCATTCCCTACCAAGAACCAGTAGGAAAGTTGCCTTTGTGCCGCCATGGACTTCATCTCCGGCTGGACGGGAGGACGCAGCCCTAAGCGTGTGAGACACACCACATGGGTTTTGGGTTTATGGGGTTTATGGGGTTTATATTGTTTATAGGGTTTATAGGGTTTATAGGGTTTATAGGGTTTGTAGGGTTTATAGGGTTTATAGGGTTTATAGGGTTTATAGGGTTTATAGGGTTTATAGGGTTCAGGGTTTAGGGTTCAGGGTTCAGGGTTTAGGGTTTAGGCGTCATTGCCTAGGCGGGACCTTGGGATGTGTTGTATGTTCCCGGGCTCAACATCCTTTTAATGTAGGATCGACCTTACTCAGCCGGGGTTGGAAGGCCAGCCCAGCTGCCATCCCGCACTTCTGGCTTAGGATTGCTGAGTCCTGTAAGGAGGTAGGAGTAGAAACCCTAAACCCTAAACCCTAAACCCTAAACCCTAAACCCTAAACCCTAAACCCTAAACCCTAAACCCTAAACCCTAAACCCTAAACCTTAGGGTTTTAGGGTTCAGAAGGCTTTGTTTGGAGGAGCCTTCGGCACGCTGCTGGTGCACCCACTGGATACGATCCGCACCAGGTGTGCAGGTTTTGAGTTTCCTTGGGCTAAGAGCTCGAATTAGGGTTTAGGGTTTAGGGTTGAGGGTTGAGGGTTGAGGGTTGAGGGTTGATTGAGGGTTGAGGGTTTAGTGTGATCGTAGTAATGTTGGACTGACTTTAGTGTAAGGAGGGTCTATATTCACAAGTTTCCAAAATTTATTCTGCGAGCCGAGTTTGTTGAAGGTACCCGTCATTATCACAAGTTTTTTTCCGGGCGTTTGGTTTTTACAGGTTTGTGTTTTGGGTTAAGGGCTTACGCAGTAAGGCTTGAGGCCCTGAGGGCCTTGGGCTCCAGGCATGAAGGGGCTTGAGGCCCTGAGGGTGGTACCCCCCCCCCCCCCCCCCATTTGTTTGGGGGGGTCGCCGCGCCATGCGTTATAGAGGGCGCCATGCGTTTATAGAGGGTCCAAATTTGTATTTTTTTTTTTTGGGGGGGGGGGGGGGGCATCGCAACATTACTCTTTTCCCGTTTTTCTTCCAGCAAACAACCTTGGGCTACACGGGGGTTGCTGCCTCGAGGGGGTTTAGGGCTTGTAGGGGTTTAGGTTTCTTAAGGCTTGGGCCCGCGACGTAACCTGTAGATGCCTCTAAACCCTAAACCCTAAACCTTGAGGCATCTCTGGCAAGAGCTATACTCCTACCCATCCGAGACGCCTTCAACCCATCCCCGAACTTCCTCTGAAGCCCTAAAACCTGATAAGAGAACGGTTTAGGGTTTAGGGTTTTCGGGAACAACCGCTTGAGGTTTGAGGGTTTAGGGGTTAGGGTTGAGGGAAAAAACCGCCAAAAGCCCGTAAAAAAACTGCAGCGCAACCCGAAGCAGGCAGGCCGTGCACGGCCTCGGGCTACTCCCGACACTTCGGGGGATCCTCCAGCGCGAGGCAGATGATCGCGTTCTCATGGGACAGAGGGGAGAATAGATGGAAGGGTTCAGAGGTTCATATGATTTTCAAAGGGGCGCTCTTCTATTCCTTCTTTTTTTTTGGGGGGGGGGGGGGGAAGGGTGGTGGGCGGGGGGCGGGGGCGGGGGGCGGGGGCGGGGGGCGGGGGCGGGGGGTGGTGGGTGGGGGGGGTTCGGGACTGAGGTGAGTAGGCGAGCGAGGTTGAGGGTTCGGGGCTTAGCAAACGCTTTCTACAAAAACCGTAAACCCTACTAGTGACGAAAACTAGCAGAGTCCTTTTAGCAGAGTCCTTCTTTCCTTCGGGGCAGAGGCTTTAGGGTGTTAACGTTGGTTCAGGGTGTATTTCCCATCATATTATATCCCGCCTCCAGACTCCATGGTATCCGCTTGTGGCTGGTTTTGAGAAGTCTCGTTTTTATCCTCAGCAAAATGCTTGTATGTGACTTCTGTTCAGGTATTCCCAAACCCCTAAGCCCGAAATCCTAACCCCTCTTCGGGCTTGGACCTGCACAGGCCTTAGGAGTCACATGTCATCGCCCCGATTATTGGGGTCTTGGGGTTTAAGGTTTGTAGACACCCTCAACGAAGTCCCTAACAGGCCCGCCTGTTAGGGAGTTCGTTGAGGGTGTCTACAAAACTGAAACCCCAAGACCCCAATAATGGGGATCCGAGAGGTCGGGGCGATGACATGTGACTCCTAAGGCCTAAGCCCGAGAAGGGTTTAGGGTTGAGGACCCCCCCCCCCCCCCTCCCCCCCCCAAATCCCTGCGGTCCAAGCTCCGGAGACCCTCAGCTCCGTCGCATACGCCCCACCACACCAGCGCACTGCTAAGGCTTGTGGGAATCCAATAAAGTTGCAAGAGCCATGTACGGTCAACCTGTCGCTCACTAAAAATTAGGAACCCTCCTCGACCGACCTGGCATAATATGCCATATTATGAGAGTCACAGGGAGAGTCCGTGTTCTCATGATGAGTACTCTAATCGGGTAAACCCTAGCCCTATACCCTAAACCCTAAACCCTAAACCCTAAACCCTAAACCCTAAACCCTAAACCCTAAACCCTAAACCCTAAACCCTAAACCCTAAACCCTAAACCCTAAACCCTAAACCCTAAACCCTAACCGCCCACTCCCTCGAAGCGCCCTCGGACCCTGCGACGTCGCGCCAGGGCTTCGCGTCGCTTTACAGCGGCGTCTTCAGCCCTTGCCTGACCTCGGGAGTGTGGAAGGCCTATAGGGTTTAGGGGTTTAAGGGGTTTAGGGGTTTAGGGGTTTAGGGGTTTAGGGGTTTAGGGGTTTAGGGTTTAGGGTTTAGGGGTTTAGGGTTTAGGGTTTAGGGTTTAGGGTTTAGGGTTTAGGGTTTAGGGTTTAGGGTTTAGGGTTTAGGGTTTAGGGTTTAGGGCGCCCTTGCTTGACCTCGGGAGTGTGGAAGGCTAGGTGGGCCAGTGACCGGGACTAGGATGTGACCGGGAACTTAGGGTTTAGGGTTTAGGGTTTAGGGTGCAGGGTCTAGGAGGCCCAGTAATTACTGCCCATAATACCCTTTTCTTTTTTTGGTTTGTGGGGGGGGGGGGGGGGTGGGGCGGTTTAGGCTTTCCGAGAAGCCCCTTTAAGCAAAAAAGGGCACCCTGTTTTTATTCCGGGACACTGGGCTACTTGGGGGAACTTCACAAAGGGTTAGTAAGTGTTCAGGACTTTCGGTAGGGAGGTTTAGGTCTAAGGTTAAGGTTTTGGGGTGCAAGGCTTAGGGCTTGGCCTAGGGTTAGGGTTTCGGGTTTAGGATTTTGGGCTTAGGGCTCCTCAGTTGCCAGGGGGTTACCATGACGGCGCACTACCAGACGCAGCAGCTGCTGTCAAAATACCGCGGCCTGCCCAGTGCGCAGGACCTCTCGGTGCTGGCTGCTCGGCCCCTTTAAGGTTTTAGGGTTTAGGGTTGAGGTCCCTTCAGGAACATTTCGGAAGGTTCTTCCCATAGAGTCAGTCCTCTGGATATTGTTCCTTTTCTTGGATCTGAATCCTAAGCCCTCATCCCTGAACCACAATATCCAAAAAGAGCATGGTCTGTATTGACACAGGGGGGCTGATTTGAGCCGGCATCCCTCTCAGGGCCTCCAGAAACTTTGGGAGTCCAGATCTGAAGGCATCATAAACCTATTTTAGTGGTTTAGGGTTTAGGGTTTAGGGAATGCTCCACTGTCATTATTGTCAATGTTGTTATGGTAGTTCTGATTGTCCTTCTGGTTGCTATTGTTATCAGCATGATGCTTTCTACATACTGCTGGAAGCATCGTTAATATGTATGACTACTACGATCCCGAAACCGTGAACCCTGAACCCTGGGCCGCTTCTTGGCTGCACATGTTGACGTTGGGGGCACCTCACCACTCAACCCTAAACCCTAAACCCTAAACCCTAAACCCTAAACCCTAAACCCTAAACCCTAAACCCTAAACCCTAAACCCTAAACCCTAAACCCTAAACCCTAAACCCTAAACCCCAACGGCATCTCTAAGGACGTGGCTGTTTGTGCCAGTGTTGCGGGAATGGCTGGCGGCATGGTCGTCGCGCCTGCTGAGCTCATTAAGAGCCGCACGCAGATATGCGGCTCGGCATTGGGAAACCCTAAACCCTAAACCCTAAACCCTAAACCCCAGTGAGACTCCGCTTTCCATATTTTTCGCTAGGTTCGCTGTAACAGCACAAGGGTTCCCCTTTTCTTCAGGGTTTCGGGTTGAGGGTTTGTGCGGATGCTTACTCCAGAGCCTCCAACGACCGTGCGCAGACGGCAGGTGTCGAGGGCACCAGCAACCCATACCAGAAGGAACTCAAGCAGGTGCTTCGACCGCCTTGACTTTGCTCCCTAAACCCAAGCAACCTAACCCCCTCCCCCATGTACCCTAAACCCTATTGGAGGTAGGGTTTATGTTGCTGTTCTTGGTGAGTGTAGACAGGGGGTTGCTAAGAATTGCAGATGTTCGGGCTTAAGCCTCGGATCCTAGTCATACCCTTTTTCCCTTTAAGGGCTCAGGGTAGGGTTTCCTTGTTTAGGGTTTAGGGTTTAGGCTTTAGGGTTTAGGGTTTACGGTGTATACTGCCCCCCCCCCCCCCCCCCCCCCCACGCCGCCCCTTTTTCAGGCTACGATTGCACTATTGGGAGTCTAGAGACTTTATCTGAGCACCTTGCGGGCAACTCCAGCAGCAGTGGTCCCTAAAGCCTAAACCGGGGCGGTCGCCCACAGCCATGGTTGTTGGGTTTGGGGTTTAGGGTTCCCTCAAACCTAAACCCTAAACCCCACACCCTAAACCCTAAATCCTAAACTCTAAACCCTAAACCGCTCAGGGGGTCGAATATGGTTTGGAGCCTGGAGATCAGCAACAAGACTAGCAGGAACAAGAACAAGAAGAGACTAAAGGTGCATGTATCTCTGTGCAAAAAGGTCTCACAGTCCTACACATCGCCATCCGCAGCTGACGCCTGTCAAAGTGCTACCCTAAACCTTAAACCCCAAGCCCTGCACCCGAGGGATTCTGAGGGTGTCGGGTTATCGAGGCCTTCCGTTTGATTCAACAAGGGCTAAAAGCTGCTGGACCCTGAAAGTCGCGACGCACCCGCGGCAATCAACTGCCCCTCGTCCCCGCCTCAGCACCCAGAGCCACGAAATTCCGACGACCTCAAGCCCTAAACCCTGCAGCCCTACACCCCCTCGACGCCCCAAACCCCAAGCCCCAAACCCTAAACCCTAAACCCCAAACCCTAAACCCTAAACCCTAAACTCTAAACCCTAAACCCTAAACCCTAAACCCCAACCCTCATTTATAAGTTTTAAACCCTCTCCTCTTTCCTGTGCGAGGTCGCTGCGCTCATGAAGCCCGGGGCCTGGACCAAGGCCTTCCGCGGCTCGGCCCGTCTTTGGCCAGTTTTGTTTTTTTTTTGGGGGGGGGGGGTTTGCAAAGGGTAGGGTTTAGGGTTTAGGGTTTAGGGTTTAGGGTTTAGGGTTTAGGGTTTAGGGGGGTTTAGGGGGGTTTAGGGGGGTTTAGGGGGGTTTAGGGGGGTTTAGGGGGGTTTAGGGGGGTTTAGAGGGTTTTGAGGGTTTAGGGCTACGGGGTGCAGGTCGGCTTTTTGGGGCCTCAACCAAAAACCGTACAGCTTAACCCTAAACCCTAAACCCTAAACCCTAAACCCTAAACCCTAAACCCTAAACCCTGTCTTCTTGGTAAGGTTCAGGCTCCGGGGCGAGCCCTGTTCAACAAACAAAGGAGACTTTTTTTTCCAGCTCACTTGGAGGATCGGTTGACGTAGTAAGTGGGTACTTCGTAGATTGGCTTATAACTTCCAAATCTTCAAGTTAACCCCGAACCTTAAACCCTAAACCCTCGCTAGTCATAAGGTGGAGCGCCCTTGATCGTGCTTCGTGACGGCCCTGGAACGCAACTGGGCGCTGACTCTTCCGTGGGACCCCTAAACCCTAAGCCCTAAACCCTAATCCCAAAACCTAAGCCCTAAACCCTAAGCCCTGACAGTTTAGGGTGCAGTGGTTTCGGGTCTGAGGCAGTCCAGGAACACCCTCAACCCCAAACAAACCCTAAACCCCAAACCCTAAACCCCAAACCCTAAACCCCAAACAATAAACCCCAAACCCCAAACCCCAAACCCTAAACCCTAAACCCTAAACCCTAAACCCTAAACCCTAAACCCTAAACCCTAAACCCTAAACCCTAAACCCTAAACAAAATGAGATAATAAATAAACACCCCAGATTTGTGTACCTCGGCGTCTACGAGTACGCGAAGCGCCGCCTCGAGAGCTTGAGCTGGCCCGCGCAGCTCGGGCCCGACGTTTAGTTTAGGGTTTAGGGATTAGGGTTTAGGGTTTAGGGTTTAGGGTTTAGGGTTTAGGGTTTAGGGTTTAGGGTTCAGGGTTCAGGGTTCAGGGTTCAGGGTTCAGGGTTGAGGGTTTGGTTTAGGGCTAAGGCCTGAGGGTTTTGGGTTTAGGGTTTAGGGCTTAGGGCTAAGGGCTTAGGGTTTAGGGTTTAGGGTTTAGGGTTTAGGGGTGTAGGGGTTTAGGGTTTAGGGGTTTAGGGTTTAGGGGTTTAGGGGTTTAGGGGTTTAGGGGTTTAGGGGTTTAGGGGTTTAGGGGTTTAATGTTAACGTCGCTTTAATAAACCCCCCCGCCCCCCCCCAAAACTTGTTTTGGTCCCCGGGGTTTGGAGGGGTAGAAAAAAACGAGTGGGTGCCAATAATGCGGATTCTGGGGGTCTTGGGCGGGGTTAGCTGTCAGGGTCTGCCACGGAGCTCGAAAAGTCTTCTCTGCAAGTAAAATTTCTGATTCCTGGCCGGCCAAATATTACTGTTGTCACCCCATTATTATTTTCACCGGACCCCCCTATATAGACTTGTTTACACACATCGGCCCGAAAACCTCCCGTAATGGAAAGTAGTCTTCGGCTGAGCCCCTCTGGCCCGGCGAATATTACAGTTGCCACCCCATTTATAGATGTGAGGTTAACATTAGGGGTTTAGGGGTTTAGGGGTTTAGGGGTTTAGGGGTTTAGGGTTTAGGGTTTAGGGGGAGAAACTCTGGACAGTCCGGTTTAGGGTCTAGGGCTTAGGGTTCAGGGAAGCAGAAGTTCTCCTCGGTTGCTACTCGACTTATTTGTGTTTCAGGTGGTACAAGGTTGTTTTTTTTACCTTGCACATCAAGTATTGGCTGCAGTTGGAAAAGATTTGTCAAGTTGAGAGAACAGTGATCGACCATTTTCGTGTTTAGAACAACCCACCCACCCCCCCCCCCCCCCCCCCCCCCAAACCCAAAACCTTAAAGCCTAAAGCCTAAAGCCTAAAGCCCAAAGCCCAAAGCCCAAAGCCTAAAGCCTAAAGCCTAAAGCCTAAAGCCTAAAGCCTAAAGCCTAAACCCTAGTCTCCACCCAGGTGGTCGAAGACCGCTCTGGCCGCCTCCGTCGCCGGGCCCAGCGGATGGGTGGCCATTTACCCAATCGAGCCAGGGCAGGGTTTAGGGTTTCGGGTTTCGGGTTTAGTGTTTAGGGTTTAGAGGCGTAGGGTTGATAAGTAATCCTGCTGCCAAGGGCGGGCTTCAGATGGGGTGCTTACTTCAGATGCCCCATTGTTTACGTCCTTCTGCGCCCTTACCGAAGTCCTGCAGAAGCCACCCTCATCCCTCAATCCCCAACGAGAATCTAAACGCCAGGAGGCAGGTAAACCTCGTTTGCGAACTGTTGGTCATTGCGCATTGCAGGCATGTGCCAGCGGTACATAGGTTTCTGTATGGGGGGTGCTTCGGAGGTCGAGTGTTGGGCCTTGCCAGTCGGGACTTTACCCTAAAGCCCTTGAGCCCTCCACCCTCCACTCCATACCCCCTTGTGAAACGAAATCGCACCCAACTTCAAGTTCGCCCGGTTCAAAGAGCCCCCACTCAGCTTGAGGAAGTGCTTCGAATCCGATTCCAGGGCGAGCTGGGCTGGCAGTCCTACACAGAGGCCGCACCCACTAGAAGGGCGGCAAAAGGTAGGGACCCTAAACCCTAAACCCTAAACCCTAAACCCTAAACCCTAAACCCTAAACCCTAAACCCTAAACCCTAAGCCCTAAGCCCTAAGCCCTAAACCCTAAACCCTAAACCCTAAACCCTAAGCCTTGCTACAGGCCATAAAGATGGCAAGTAGGCAGTACAAGGCTCAGGGCTGAGGGTTTGAGGGTTTAGGCTTATGTTTGTCTGCTCTGCGTAGGGTATGAAAGTGTGGGTTTGGGTGTAGAAGCCCTAAACCCTAAACCCTGAACCCTGAACCCCACAGCTTAGCGGTTTTTTTGGGCCCCGTTGGGCTCCGGCTGTCGTGGGATGCGCATCGAGGGAGCTAGGGGTATAGAGCTTAAGGTCTATCTATTTCGTGGGCTTCTCGGGCATATAGGGGCTATCCAAGGTTTAGCGAATAAGACGAAGGGGGTCCCTTCTAGGGGTCCCTTTTCTATCCCTTAAGTTTAGGGCTGCTCAGAGCACAGAATTGTTCGTGTACTTTGCCGCTCAAAACTTTACCCTATTCAGTCGCCAACGCAAGGGCTTTAAGCTTTAGACCGCTTGGAGAAAGGTTGTGAGCAATGACTTGGTAGCCCAGTGGTACCCTTTACCCTTTTTTTGGTTATGGGCTCCCTTATAAAGTAACCACCCCAAAAAAGGGTGCCCTTATTATAGTATGGTTACTGGGCTACTAAACATGAAGATCCGATACTTCATGTTTTATCCTGATTTGTCTCTCAGAGCATTCGGCTTTCAGCCGCCACGCCCGTGCAGAAGTCTCTGCAGTATAAATCTGCATTCTCCGTCCGAAGAATGATAGTTATTGATCTGGAAAATCCCCTGTGGTTAGGTTATTCAGAGTCGGATGTAGGGTGCAGGGACTGCCTCACAGCCCCACGCCCTCAACCAATCCAAAATCTTCATCCCAGCGCGCCCTACAACGAAAGATCCTAAACCTCAGCCCTACAGTAACCCTAAAACCCTAAACCCTACACCCTAAACCCGACAGCGAACGGGCCCCAACCGCACGTCCGAAGCCCTGCGCACGCCCTGGGCCCTGCAGCAACAACCCCTAAACTGGGCTTTGGAGTACTATACTTTAATACTTTTTTTGGTTTTGGGTTCTCATTCTAGCTACTTATACCTAAAAAGTATATACTTTTTTTCTGGGTCTACTCCAGAGGTAGGTAAAGCATAACAGGCGAGTTTGAGGTTTAGGGTTTGGGTTCAGAGTTTGGGGTTTTGGGTTTTAGAGTCTCTTGGTCCGTCTTTTACTAGTCAGGGAGCCCTATTATGGGTGTTATAAGGACACGAAGGGGTCATCTTAGAAACAGGAATGGTTAGACAACTACCATATCTTGGTAGCCCTGTGGCACCCCTTGCCCTTCTTGGGTTCATTGTTCCCTTATTCCTAGGTAGGAGAAGGGGGGCCCTTAAAAGGGAACCCTTCTTAACCTTCTTCTGGCTCTCTTCAACAGGGACCTTATTCAGAGGGTCTATGTCCCCAAGGGTCTCCCTAATCCTATCCTCTACTTATAGAGTAACTAACCACCCAAAAGGTGTACCCTTCATTTGAAGATGGTCACCGGGGCTACCAAGATGTACACCGGAGGTCTGCCAGCACATCTACAAGCAGCACGGCTTGCCCGGCTTCTTCCGTGGCATGGGCCTCCCGGCATCTTTTTGTTTTGACCTCTCGGGGGTTCTAAGGGAGGCTTTCTATATGATAATAATGAAAGACCTCATGTGTACTGTGCATTGTGTATATGCATATACACATATAGCTTGTTTACGGTTAGATTGCTGCGGTTTCTTGGCAGGTTGAGGGTTGAGGGTGGGAAGTCGTCGTTCATCCTGAAGAAGCGAAATTCCTTGGTTGCTCATTCCCAGAAGATTTCTTTTGTAAAGGGATAGAAGGGACACTTCGTCTGATTCCCCTAGATAAACACCTCAGGACCTTATAGCGTCCTATGTAACCAAGTAGCCACGACATTTACCCTCGTAAGTGTTCCCCCTGGCAGTTGTGGCTTGACCCTCAAACCCTAAACCCTAAACCCTAAACCCTAAACCCTAAACCCTAAACCCTAAACCCTAAACCCTAAACCCGAAGCCCTAAACCCCCCAGCTAAGTTAAGGCTCATGAGCCTCTCAACCCGAACCCTCAAAGCCCTGAACCCGGAACAAGCCGACGGTGGCTAGCTTCCCTTGCAATTCCAAACCCTAAACCCTAAACCCCTAACCCCTAACCCCTAAACCCTAAACCCTGAGCCCTTCTGCGCCGTCCTTCTTGAACCCTAGAGACCTAGGGATCTTAGGGTTTCAGGGGTTTGGGCCCGCGATGCCTTGCCGGGGAGCCCTCTTGAACGCGTCCTCCTTTGAACCTTTTTTTCTAGGGTTCTTAAGTGAATTGGGTTCAAGAGGGTATGCAACCCAGGGAACAGGTTCTAATATGTTCCTAGGCTTGAAGTATGTAAGAAGGGTCGAGCGTTGGCTGTGAGTCTCTAAACCCGAAGAACTTCTGCGATTGTCTCATAGATGTGCAACAAGCGGGTTTGGGGTTTAGATCTGCCGGCGTGCACTAAGGAACATGCCTAATTCGTTCGAGCTTCCAAATATCCTGCACGCTTGTAATCTTCGAGTCCATGCGGGCATGGCGTTGATGCACGGAGTCGCAGCGCCTAAAGGCCCTAAATCCTAAGCCCTCAGCTCTAAACCCTGTAACTCTGTTGCCTTTCGACTGCTGTGTCCCCCATACTGATCCAACCCGAACGAAATGCAAGCCCTCTAGGCCCTAGATGACACAACGTCCTGAACTCTACACCTTTCGGGCTTAGGTTTTAAAGCTTTCACCCCTAAACCCACTTGCACAGCTGTTGGAGCCCAAACGTCATACCCTTCCACCAAGATGGCCCAAGAAACGGAGCTTGAATTGGGTTTGGGGTTTATGGCTTGGGGCTTCTAGCGGCCTTATGAACCAAAGCCCTAGACCCTGAGGGCTGTGAAGCCCTATGCCCTAAAACTTAAACCCTAATTAAACCCTAAACCCTCAGCTTAAACCCTAAACCCTAAACCCTAAACCCTAAACCCTAAACCCTAAACCCCTACCTAAAGGGGAAACCGGGCCGAGCGCCGCCGCAATGGAGTCGACCTCCGGCGTTCCCTCACAAGAGGATGCAAGAGTTTAGGGGTCTAAGGAGGGACTTCTAGAAAGGATTTAGGGTTTAGGGTTTGGGGTTTAGGGTCTAGGGTTTAGGGTTTAGGGTTTAGGGGGGGCCTTAATCTTGTTCCCCTATATTCCCCTGATATATATATATATATACCAAAGATATAGCCCCTATATACCTAATTCGCCCCCCCCCCCCCCAAATAACCCCATCCCTAAGGTCGCTTGCAAGCGTCCCTCCGTTAGTCCCTTACAAGAGTATCAGTTTCCCCGGCAGACGTCCCGGGACCCAAATACCAGTGAAATGCACGTAGCTCCTGCAAGCATTTTTGGGGCGACTCGGGCGGTTTTCGTTGCATGCTTCGTGGACGTCTTAGGGCTCAGGGTAGGGGACAGTCCCGAACCCCCTGAACCCCAAAACTCGTTAGGGTTTCGGGTTTCGGGTATAGGTTTTGGGGTTTCGGTAGGGTTTAGGGTTTGGGGTTTGGGGTTTAGTTCGGGTATAGGAAGGAGACCCCTCAATCCCTCGTCAGAACCCTGGCACGTGTGTAATCTTAGGGCTTTATTAAAGTTAAAGAGTTTAAGCTAAGGCTAATTAGAGTGTGAAGGGGTTCAGGTGTTTTGCATTGGGTGGGAATCCCTGAACCCTGAACCCTGAACCCTAACCCTAAACCCTAAACCCTAAACCCTAAACCCTAAACCCTAAACCCTAAAGCTAGAACTTACGGGGGTTTAGTTGAATCGCTGTGGGATGCTGGTTCGTCTCTTACCAAGTCGCCCTACACCCTCGGCTTTGCCAGCCGTTTCAAGCGGAGGTTCCGAGATCAGGCAGCCGCACCCCCAACTAGGGTTTAGAGTTTTAGGGTTTAGGGTTTAGGGCTAGGGGCCAAGCTTGCCCTCTGAGGCCATAAGCAAGCCCAGAAATCTCGGGGGCTCGGGCAAGGAGTATCGGGGAATACGACCCAGCCCCCCTAAACCCGAAACCCTAAACCCTAAACCCACTCCATTCCGAATCCGGGGAGTTGGGGTTTACAGGGTTCGGCTTCTGGGGTTTTTGGGATGTAGGGGCTTTGGGGGGCAAGCCTTACAACCGTAGATCATAAACCCGAAGCCCTAGGCCCTGAACCCTAAACCCTAAACAACCCTGAACCCGATGCGTCATCAAGAGCGGCCTCGAAATCTCAGAGCCGGTCTGCCACAGATGCTCTTGCACGGGTCAGCCGGTTAGCAACCTTCCTTGTCATCGTTTCGGGGCCGGAAGACCACAGCCCCCAAAGTAAGACTTTGGAGATGTTATTGCGGCTGTGGTTTTTTGCTTCCGAGCGGCTCCGACCTAAAACCTAAACCCTATAAACCCTACAAACCCTAGAAACCCTATAAACCCTATATAAACCCTATATAAACCCATATAAACCCTATAAACTCTATAAACCCTATAAACCCTATAAATCCTATAAACCCTATAAACTCTATAAAACCTAAACCCTGTAAACCCTAAACCTTATAAACCCTAAACCCTAAACCCTAAGTCTGAGTGCCGTTGCTTCTGAAGTGGATGGTGCGAGACACGAAACGCGAAGGAGCGGACAGAAACAGCATTCCTCAAGGGGTACAAGGAGGGCCTGAGTAGCCCCTAAAGAACCCTAAAGAATCCCTAAGGTCCCTTCCCCATACCCTAAACCCTAAACCCTAAACCCTAAACCTTAAACCCTAAACCCTGAATCCTATAAGGGTCCCTCCTTTCGTCCCTTGAACTCCTACCTTTCCGAGGACGCGGCTTCACGCTGCAAGCCTTTTAAGCCTTAAACCCTAAACCCCTAAACCCCAAACCCAACCCCCAAACCCAAACCCCAAACCCTGTACAGGGGGGGGTGGGGGGGGTTGTAGGGGAACCCATGAAGGATGGTTGGCGTGGCCGCGCCGCAGCTTTCTCTGCTGGTCGTTGGTGCTGCTGGCCCCCACAAAGCCTCGATACGCTCACCACAGAGACATCGCCAAAACCCTGAGTTTAGGGTTTTAGGGTTTTTGGGTTTTAGGGTTTTAGGGTTTTAGGGTTTTAGGGTTTTAGGGTTTAGGGTTAGGGTAAACCCCAAATCGTTGCCCATCGCTGCCTTAAGCGCTAAGCCGGCAGCCGTCGCCTCCTGGTGCCATGGACTTCGCATCTGGTTGGGCTGGTGGAGTGGTCGGCACGCTCTTGCTGCATCCCTTGGCCACACGGCAGAACAGGCTTGGGTTGCTTCCGGGCCACACAAAGGTTTTAGGGTTCAGGATTGAGGGTTTGGTGTTTAGGGTTTAGGGTTTAGGGTTTAGGGTTTAGGGTTTAGGGTTTAGGGGAGTTGAGGGTTGAACACAACTGTATCTTGGACAGTTGCTGTTTAGGAGTGGGGAGTTTGGGGGGTGGGGGGGGGGGGGGGGAAATTGGTCCCCTGAAGCTCTTTTCCCAGAAGCTACCCTAAGCCCGCGGTCCCAGAGTTGCCCTTAACCCTTAACCCTGAGCCCTAAATCTTCAAATTCGAAAGCTGGGGGTCGGGTTCCAGGGTTCAGGGTTTAGGGCTATTTCGTGGCCATTTGCATAGGCATATCGGGACTGTCCAAGGTATTCTACGCGGGGTTAGAGTTCAGGGTTAAGGGTTTAGCAGGCTTAGAAGTGTCGGGTCTTTGGGTTTAAGAGGCTTTCGGGGTTCTAGGGTTATAGGACTCAAGAAGTTGCAGGGGACTAGGGTGTTTAAGTTTTTTGTGTTTGCCCTAAACCCTAAACCCTAAACCCTAATCCCTAAGCCCTAAACCCTAAACCCTACACCCTAAACCCTAAACCCTAAACCCTAAACATTTAGGACTTGGGTCGCCGCAAGATGCCCGGCCTCAGGACACCGTGCGCACGCGCCAGGCGCTACATGGCCAGTCTCTGGTGCGCGGGATGAGGCCGGGGTTGAGGGTGTTTAGGGTTTAGGGTTTAGGGTTTAGGGTTCAGGGTGTTTAGGGGCTGAGGATTTAGTGCCTTTAAGGGTTGAACTCTCATTTTCAAACTCTAAACCCCAAAAACCTAAGCCCTAAACCCTAAACCCTAAATTCTAAACCCTAAACCCTAAACCCTAAACCCTAAACCGGAACAAATCAGTTTGGGCCATTGGGGTTGTTTACTCTTTTTTGCTTTACTGTAACTTTAGATCCTTAGCCTTTTTGGGTTTGTTGGGTTTCTTAATCAGGCAGCTAAAGTTTTGAATTTTTAGCTACCCTCCTAAGTGCAGCCAAGTTTATAAGGCCGATCCACTAAAGCAACGTATCCAGCTGGTTCGGGGTCACAGGTCTTGGAAGTTCTTTGGAGTTAGGGCCAAGCTTGGGGACAAAATGAACCCTAAAAGGGTTTAGTGTTTAGGGTTTAGGGTTTAGGGCTAGGGTTTAGGGTTTAGGGTTTAAGGTTTAGGGTTTAGGGTTTAGGGTTTATGGCTCATATACCTTAATGGGAGTTATAGTAGTTATGGGTATATGACCCCAATCTTAGGGTTCATTTCGTCCCCAAGGAAAGGCTCTCAAACTCATATAGTCAATTCTTTACGTGATGATCTCCTTCTGGGGTGCCCCAGACCTTGCTAAACCAGAAACCCCAGCTCCTCAAGCCCGAAGCCCTAAACCCTACACCCGAAACCCGAAGCCCTAAACCCGAAACCCTAAACCCGAAACCCTAAACCCTAAACCCTAAACCCTAAACCCAAAGCCCAGCAGGGCCTTTAACAGGAGTCTTCGGTTGGAACCCTGGGCCCTTTGTGTGGTCCCTTACCCTTCTTTTCTTCGGATCCGAGGTGTGGGCCGTTCTTACATATAAGTGTATGGGTTTAGGGTCTAGGGTTTAAGGGTTATATCAACGAGTTGTTCTGAGGCTTCTTGGCTGTTTTCATTACAGAGCATGAGCGTAGTTTAGGTTTTAGGGTTTACTTGGAGGTTCATGGTACTTATTGACCAAATGCAATTGTACTTATGACCCACTTATAGGCCCCTTAAGTGCCCTAATATGGTTATAAGTACAGGTACACTTATAACTGGTTAGCAAGTACCATGAACCTCCAAGTAGGGTCAGTAGAACCCTAATCCAAAGCTCCTGTAAGCAGGGCTAAGAAAACTGCACATACCTGGCCCTTAGGATGTTTCAGGCCATTCAGCTCCCGGGTTACTTAAGATGTTTAGGGTTTAGGGTTTTGGGTTTAGGGTTTAGGGTTTAGGGTTTAGGGTTTAGGGTTTAGGGTTTAGGGTCCGGGTTTTAAGATGATCTTATGTAGGGACAGCTTTGCCGAGGCTGGAGAGGGCCCAGCCTTAGAGGATCATACCCCGAAACCCTGAATTCTCAGTCCTCAACCCTCAACCCTAAACCCTAAACCCTAAACCCTAAACCCGAAACCCTAAACCCTAAACCCGAAACCCTGAACCCTAAACCCTAAACCCTACACCCCAAACCCTAAACCCTACACCCTAAACCCTAAACCCTAAACCCTAAACCCTAAA